CGCCGTGTCCCCGCTGTGCAGATTCTGGGCTCGAGTCCCAGTGTCCTCACAGTTCTCCACGGGAACCAAGCGCATCCCGAGCGCCCCGCCCTGGCGCTGCTGCCCCGGGGCCACCCAAAGGAGGGCAGGATAGCAAGGATGGGGCCGCTGGATAAGGAGCTTTCCTTTGCAGGTGTGCCCTGGACCCTGGAGACACAGACTCAGCCGGAGAGAGGAGGGCTTATTCGCCAGGTCACACCCAGTCTCAGCAGATGCCGAGGCTCAGATGCTGCGGTCAGCCATGCGCTGCCACAGACTGGGCCTGGGCCTGGGGCTCTGCCTGCTGGCCGGCACCATCTTCTGTGCTCTGTGGTGAGCATGCCCCATGAAGCCCTCTATCCTAGCATCTCAACCCCCAAACCTGACCCCTTCCGGGCTTCCCAGGTTTCACCCACCTCTCCTGGCACACCTGTGCCCTAACCGCAGCACCAGCCTCAGCAAAACGGAGCTGGGCTTCTGAATTTTTGCCTTGTACTGGCCTTGTTCTTTCCTCTGCCCCGATCATCCTTCTAGCCATGCGGAGGAGACACTCCGGTGCATGCTCCAGAATTCACCCTGCGTGTTCCTTCTGTGAAGTCCCCAGGGTTGTCCCCACCCACCCGCCCCGCTCTGTGTGCAGGGCCTGTCATCAAGAGCCATCCCACCCAGGAGTGAATGACTGTGGGTCAATAGTGCCTGCAGAGCCCGGAGGCTTTGTCCTCCGAGGTCAGCCAGACCCGAGTTGTGGTGGGGACCCCTACATGCGCCACTGGGCCTTCACGCCCCCTAATGAGCACCGAGTAGCTTTCAGCCTCTGGAGCAGAGTTGAATCGGGTTTTTCCTTCCCAGGGTGTACGTCGAGAACTGGCTGCCATTCTCCTATGTCCCCTATTATCTGCCCTGTCCGGAGATCTTGTAAGTATGGGGCTGGGACAACAAGGGACCCCGGGGGCTGCCTGGAGTGGAGAAGGTGGGACAGTTTTTAAGGTCGCCGTGCCTGCAGAGTCTTAGATCCTAAGCTCGTGGTTCTGATCGGTATGATGAGTGTTTGGGTAACTTATGGGCTGCCCTGCTTCAACCTTCGGGTGTCCCTGCACCGTCCCCTCCACAGCGGGCCTTGAGCGTGTCACGTAGCTCCAAGCCTCACTTGCTGCATCTGTAAAGTGGGAAAACGGAGGTGCCCCTCCCGGCCCACTGGGGGCTTGGAGTGGGTCGATGCCTGTAAATAGCCTGGAGTAGCACCTGGCACATAGTAGGTGCTCAGGAAATAGTGCTTTTAGGACTTGGCCATTTTGCTCAGTTCTATGTGGATTCAAGAAACAAATTAACATGTGACCAAAGTCTTCCCGAAATGACGCATCGGTTAAGAGTGAAAAAATCCAATGGGACAGTCTCAAGGGGCATCATGACGGCTAAAGGAAAGTTTAAAATGTGGGTTGCAGACTACTAATTAACGAGGCGTGCCTTATTATCATTCTAAAAACAGGATATAGTATATTAGGAAGCGGGAAAGCAGGAAAGATGAAGGAAAAGAAAAACCCTCTCGGGTCTCGCCGATCTGAGTTATGGTCCAATTCCACAGTCTGTCGCTGGCTTGTTGGTTACTGCACTTTCTAAATGAACAGGTAGTGCATTTACTCGGTTATATTTACTAGCTTCCTACCGAAACTTGTCGTGATCTTAATGTCTTTACGATTTTCATCCTGTTTCCCAGAAGTGGCTTTATGTCTCGGCGTGTGTCCATACTCTCCATGGTGACTGCCATTTTATTCCACCCAAGGGTCGGGTCATAATCCTTGAACCTCTTTCCCACCTAAATTTGGGAAGTTAGGTTGTTTCCAGTTTCCCAGGATTCTAACGTCGTTTTGAATGAGCAGCTCTGGACGTAAAGCTTTTCCATCTGAAAGGTCTTTCAGTTGGGTCTTTCTGTCCCCTGGCCAGAGGACATGGACAGGTTCTTGGTCCATCTTGTCAGGCTGCTTTCCAGAAGGACCAGGGCACCCACACACTCACATCCCCACAAACCCCACGGCACTGCCCCTGGGCCACTGCTGGACGTACGAGAAGGAAGCAGAAAACAAACTGGAAACTAGAAAAAGTCACACCAAACCACCCTGCCGATCCGAGAGATGGGAAATGCTATCTCTTTGGTTTAAATTTCATTTCTTTGTTTCCTTCCCAGTGTCCCCTCCCCACCCCCGCCCCGCCCCCCAATTGAATCTCCTCTTCCTGGCTGGCCAGCTTGGCCTCCTCCTCTCTGGCCTGTGCCGTTCTGTCATCGCCCTTGGCAGAGCAGACTTGCTATGTTTTTTTTTTTTTCCTTTCCAGTCTGTCTTCGATTCTACCAAGCTGTTTTTCTCATAGATTGAAGTTGGAGGTTCTGTTTGTGTTCGACGGTCACGTCTCGAAGCCTCTTCGTTTGGATTTCTTCTGGTCCTTGAGGTGTCTTATGTACGCTCAGAGGTTTAGAAAAGTGACATTCTTTTGGCTAGCGCCCTCCTGTGGCTTGTGCAGGTTATGTCCAACCCTTTCCGGCAGCTGGAGAACTCTGGCCTTGTGGGGACTGGAGGGGCCGTCGCTAGGGAGTGTGGGACGCCGGGCTGACCGGTGCCAGCGTCCTCCCTTCTGACAGCCTTTGCCAAGAGCTGTCACTTTCTGAGCGGGGACCTGAAATGTGCTTCTCTGTGCGAAACTAGGGCAGAGGGTCGATTGGATGGATTGACTTTAAAAAATCATTGATTGCAGAGGACAGACTGATCACAGAAAGACAGATACTCTGTGATTCCAGTTACTGAGACCCCTAGAGGGGTCAGACTCAGAGACAGAAGTAGAACAGTGGTGACGGGGGCTGGGGGAGCGAGAGTGTGATGGGGACAGAGTTTCAGTTTGGGAAGATGAGAAAGTTCTGGAGCTGGAGGGTGGGGGTGGCTGCAGCATGATGTGCGTGCACTTAACCCTGCTGAGCTGTGCGCCTAAAAACAGTTAAAATGCTAAGTCTTTGTCACGTAGATTTCACACACACACAAACAAGCATAGACTGAAAGATGCTGGGAAAACCCAGACTTAAGCCGTCCCATCGTATGCGACATATTGAAAATTCCCGAATGAATGGCAGACACCGCGTCCTCAGGTGGTCAGAGCCCTTCAGCAGGCCTCTCCCAGAGCTGCTCCCTGGTGGCCATGGGCAGGCCTCCCCTTCTCTGTGCCCCAGCTCTACCCGCTGGGGAGCGGCTCTATGCAGAAGGTTTTATTGTCTCATTTTTTTTAAGGGCGAGGGGTCTGTAATTCCCGGGGAGTCAAATGTCGGGCCCCAGGCGTCTGGGCCAGATGGTGGCAGAACCGGAGACTTTGTACAGCCTGCTCTCTCCTTCCTCGGGGACCCCTTTGTGACTTCTCCACCTGGGGTGGCCTTGGTTGACGTGAGTGAGGCTCACCGCACAGGCTGCTGGCAGTGGGCTGAGGCCCCCGCCCCTCATCCCTGAGTTTGTTCTCACGGCAGCTCTAAGGACAGTCACCTGTTTCATAGATGAGGAAAAGTGGGCGCATCGGTCAGGGCTCCACTAAAGAGACAGAACCGGCAGGAGGGAGGGAAACAGGCAGGTGGTAGGTGGCCAGTTGGTAGGTAGGTAGATAGCTGGACACGGCCCTAGTCGCTCGTGGGGGCGGCGGGCCAGCGCGAGCACAGGGCAGGCCGTCAGGGAGGGCAGGTGCTGACGCTGCTGTCCACCGACAGAACGTCCTCTTCAAGGACCCCACGCTTCTGTTTCCAGGGCCTTTGGACTGGTAAATCAGGCCCACCCAGATGATCCAGGGTAATCTTTGCATGGTCAGCTGGTGCAGATGTTAGTCACACCTGCAAAACGCCTTCACCGCACTTCGATTGGTGTTTGCTTGACAACTGGCCATCACCGTGGGCTCGTGGGCTCGTGGGCTCGGGTTAAGTCACTCTCCCAAGGCCTTCAGGCCAGGAACTGGTGGAACTGGGCTCACCGGTCTTTGGGGGCTTCTCCAACCTTCCACCCAAGAGGTGTGGGAAAGCATAGCTTTGGAGACAAACGGCCACAGGTCGGACTTGCTATGCCACCGCTCGGTGACCCTGGACAGACCGCGTCTGTGGGGGCCCAGGCCTGCAGAGTGAGCAGAGCAGTGGGAAGGTTTGAGGGAATCTGCCTGGAACCTAGGGGTGGAGGGGAGGGGGCTGCCCCGTGGGGGCGTCGGCTTAATCTCAACTCCACTAACAGCTCGCGCTAATGGCTATTTCTCCCCTCTGCCCACCAGCAACATGAAGCTGCAGTACAAGGAGGAGAAGCCGTTCCAGCCAGTGGCACAGTAAGCAGACTGTCCTCTCCCCGCTTGTGGGCCCCGCAGTGAGGGCCGCCTGCCCTCACCACTGGCCCTTCTCCGTTGCAGGTCACAGTACCCTCAGCCCAAGCTGCTGGAGCAGAGGTAGGCGCCGGGTGCAGCATGGAGGGGGACCCGGAGTGGAAGATGGGGGGGACAGAGCTCTGACTTATAAGTTGGGGGAATAGAGGTACCAGGTGGCCTTGGGGTCCAGGTAGCCTGGGCTCCAGTCGGCTCTGTCACTAGTTGTGTGACCTCGGGCGGGTCACCCAGCTGCTCTGCACTTCCGCACAGGCGGACAGCACCCACCACACAGGAGGCCACACAGCATGGTGTCTGCTGCATAGCAGGCGCTCGGTCCCTCATGGTGACGATGTCGGTAACCCCGTTTATTAGGCACTTAGCCGGTACCAGACGTGCCAGGCTCCCCCGGACAGCCGACATGCAATAACTCCCGGTCCTCTTGACCATCCTGGGAAGTGGCTGTCATTGTCCCCACTTTACGCCTGAGGATACTGAGGCCCAGGGACAGGGACCAGGCTGCCGGGGTCACACAGCATGGGAGGCAGGGCTAGGGTGAGACCGAGGCTTTGACGAGGGCAGGGTCTCAGCCCCCGCGGCCTCCCCTGCTGCCAGGCCCACAGAGCTGCTGACCCTCACACCCTGGTTGGCGCCCATCGTCTCCGAGGGGACCTTTGACCCGGAGCTCCTGCGGCACATGTACCAGCCGCTGAACCTGACCATCGGGCTCACAGTATTTGCTGTGGGGAGGTGAGTGGCCGGCTGGGCGGGGGGAGAGGGTATTCTCTCAAGCCACTGGAGCTTACAGTCTGGGGAGAGGCAGGAGCTGGACACAGGACCCTGTCCGGGCTCCAGGAAGGCCCCAAACCAGGTGCCACCCAGGGGGAAGGCAGGAAGTAGGGTGCGGTGGTGAGCAGAGGGCTCCCTGGAGGGCCAGGGTCTGGCCCTGGTGTGGCAGCTCAGGGGACTGATCGACAGGAGCCTTTGTCGGGGCCCTCCTCGCCCCCTCACCCCTTTCTGCTTCCCCTGAGCAGCCCGGACAGGACTGGAAACCCCAAACCACCGCACGTGACTAGGACCCCATGGCCAGGCCACAGGCAGGCCCGCCCTCGGGGCCCCCTCTTCCCAGCCCCGGGCCTGCCTGCTCCCTGCCTTTCCCTGTCTCCCCCTCTCCTCCCTGACCCCACCTGGCCTTTCCTACAGGAGCCACCCCTGGTGGCCTCCCTCTGGGTCCCTGCCCTGAGCCCCCGGCCCCCACACCGCTCACCTTCCCTGGATGCAGCCATTCACCTGCTTCCCGGCTCCTCCCCTCTGTCTGAGCCTCGGCGTCTCTGCCGACGAAGCGGGGAGTATGGCGCCTGCCTTCTAGCGAGTTTCTGAGGTTCAGAGAAGATAAGAATCCCTTAGAACACGCCTGGCACTTAGTAAGTGCTCAGGAAATTTAGGTCGTTTTGCGCATGTAAGACTTGTCGCCGAGTACCATTCTTGTGACGGTCTTAGGAGGTCAGTGTTACGATCGTGGGCATTTGACAGACAAGGCCCCCGGGGGCAGACCTGAGTGACTCCTCAAAGTGGGGTGCTGGGAGGTGGACGCAGCCGGGCTGACTCCGGGCCCCAGGCCCCGTGTGGTGGCAGCCCACATGGGCCCCAGCCAGGCCTGGGGCTGCCGCGGCTGACAGGTTGCCATCGCCAGGTACACCTGCTTCGTCCAGCACTTCCTGGAGTCGGCGGAGCAGTTCTTCATGCACGGCTACCGGGTGCACTACTATATCTTCACCGACGACCCCGCGGCCCTTCCCCGGGTCCCGCTGGGCGCCGGCCGCCACCTCAGCGTCATCCCCATCCAGAAGCACGCCCGCTGGGAGGAGATCTCCACGCGCCGGATGGAGACCATCAGCCAGCACATCGCCAGGAGGGCGCACCGGGAGGTGGACTACCTCTTCTGCCTGGACGTGGACATGGTGTTCCGGAACCCGTGGGGCCCTGAGACCTTGGGAGACCTGGTGGCCGCCATCCACCCCGGCTACTACGCTGTGTCCCGCCGGCACTTCCCCTACGAGCGCAGGCCTGTGTCTGCCGCCTTCGTCGCAGACGGCGAGGGGGACTTCTACTATGGCGGGGCGGTCTTTGGGGGGCGGGTGGCCAGGGTGTACGAGTTTGCCAGGGGCTGCCACATGGGCATCCTGGCGGACAAGGCCAACGGCATCATGGCAGCCTGGCAGGAGGAGAGCCACCTGAACCGCCGCTTCATCTCACACAAGCCCTCCAAGGTGCTGTCCCCCGAATACCTCTGGGATGACAAGAAGCCCCAGCCACCTAGCCTGAAGCTGATCCGCTTTTCTACGCTGGACAAGGACAGCGACTGGCTGAGGAGCTGACAGCCGAGCAGGGGCTGCCGGGGACGGGGACCCCAAGCCCCGCAGCCAGCTCGCCCTAGCGACTCACCGCTCCAGCCTTAGCTGAGACCGGCCCTGTGCCACCTACCTCAGTCTGTCAGGAGAGTCCACCTGGCAGGGGGGCGTGGACGGGCCTTTGCAAGCCGCACAGGGCTGTGCCCGCAGGGCAGAGCTGACCAGCTGCAGGGTCAGGTAGGGTGGGGGAGGGGAGAGCGGCAGTAGAGAGCGCAGGGCCCCCCAGACCACGTGCCTTCAGGCCGGCTCTGCTGTCTGGCCCTACTCAGTGCCTGCCCTGCCACCTCTGACCTCTGCTCTCTCTTGCTGCCTGTTGCCCTTCAAGTTGCCCAACACGCTGGTGCGAAAGGCGTCCGGATGCCTTTGCTCTGGCTGCAGGGCTCCGGCGTCGTGCACGGGGTGCCACTGCCTCACTCAGGACCCGGGGGTGAGCCTGTGACGTGGGCCTGGGCTCTCTGGTTGTCAGTCCAGCTGCACCCCATGGCAACCACCCTCCCTGGCCCTCACTGCCCCCTTCTTAAGAGAGTTGGGGCAGTTTGAATAAAGTTGGCACATGCTAGGCCCTAATGGGGGGCTTTCACCTGCACGTCTGAGTGTGTGTGCCGCCAGCCACAGGGGGTACAGGCAGCCTGGGGTGGGGGAGGGAAGATAGAGTTTTCCAGGACACCTGGGCTGAAACTGGTTGCTACGACAGACGGGATTCCATCCCCGGTCTCCTGGGAGACTGCGCAAGGCGGCAGCGTGCTGCGGGATGTTTTCCCAGCGGAGTGAAGGGACGCAGCAGGACCCGTCGGCCCCATGTCCTGTGGGCTAGGGCCCTGAGCACACGAAGAACGTGTCTGCTGGTCCTCCCGTGTCCCTCCTGCATCCGGGTCAGCCTTGGCCCTCTGAGGCCACTGGTGGGCAGCCTCACCAGCGTGCCCCCCGCAGGACTTTAGAGTGCCACGGCAGTTCTGTCTCCCCGGGGTGGGGACGCGTCCAGGGTTCAGTGGCCCAGGGTCCCCTCCCCTGGGAACAGCAGCGTTTTTGGTGCAGAAAGGAGATGGAGGGTGCGCTCTGGCCATGCTGAGATGAGCACCCCCCCACCACCACCACCAACCTGGCCACTCCCGGCAAAGCTGGGCACCAGCCCCGAGCCCACTCTTGCGCCATGTGGTTTGGCTGGTGACCGCAAGGGTCAGGCAGGCAGACCGAGTGACCACTGTGAACAGACAGCCCGAGCTGGAGGGAACGAGTCAGGAAGGGGCCCCAGGGTGCTTCCGGGGGGGTGAGGGGCCAAGCCTGCCCCAGGGGAGGAAGGAGTAGGCCCTGCCTTTAAGGAGCTTCCAGGTTGGCACAGGAAGAGACCCCTCGATGTGGAGATCAGGGAAGGTCAAGGGGAGGTGGCCCTGTCAGCCTTGCCAAGGAGAAGGGAGACCCCGCCTCACTTCCAGCCCAGGTTCTGGCCCAGGGTCTCCCAGACCCACCTGAGAAACCTTATGAGCCTTGGCACAAGCCCCCTGGGACCAAGGCTGACTCTGGTCCCCATCCTAAGGTGTGACCCTCAGGCAAAAGTGGGTGATGGGACCCAACTCTTGGAACCAAACCAGGGTCCAGGCTACTTCTCTAAAAGAAGCTGAAGGCCTGGGCTAAGATGCCCCGTGGGTGGGAAGAAGCCTGACCCACAGTGGGAGGTGGGATGTCGGCAGTCCCAGCAGCCCCCGGGGCCTGGCTAACCCAACCGGATCTGAGCTATGGGCACCTGTCTTGCCAGGACAGATGATTCTGGGGGCTCTGAAGTTTTTAAATTGCAGTTACTTAAGAAATAGAATTACAAATACAAGGCTGGGCTCAGTGGCCACCACCTCGAGCTCCTGCACAAGCACAGCCTTTGGGCGCAGATTGACCTGCGCTCAAACCCACAGCTGGGCCACGTCACAGCCCCGTGACAGGCAAGCTCTTGTGGTGACTTCTCAGGGCCTCCGTTTCCTCCACTGAAGATGGGGTCAGGGACCCTGGGAGGGTGTGCTGGGGATCAGAGCAGGGACATGAAGGGACCCAAAGCGCGTGGACTCAGGAGGTCGCCTGGCCGGGGAGCCCGGATACAGGGCCAGGCCCCTGACGGTCAGCACCGGGCCCAGGCATGGCGAAGAGCAATGATTCTGAGGCCCCCGTTCGCGGCTGGACTTGGTCCCTCAGAGCTGAGTGACCTTAAGTGCTGGGGCCGCTGCTCATCCATAAAGTGGGGTGAAAGCACTGAGTGCCCAAGGGTCTCCCCAATTACAGGAGCTACCCCCAACACTCGGCCATCCTGGGGGTGGGGCCCCCTCCTCCGCTGGCTCTTACTCCAGCCAGGCTGCAGCCAGGGACAGGCTGGACCTCGTGTCCCCGGGTCCTGCCAGGAAGAAAAGGGAGTGGGGTGTAGAGGAGTCCCAAGGGGCAGCCTGACCTTCCTGCCTGCACTCAGTGTCCACTGCCTCCTCCGCTGCTGCTTTCAAGTCCTCCTGACCCCAGCCATTCCTGGAGCTGCCCCTGCAACTGGCATATGGGGACCAGGACGAAAGGGTGGGGTGTATAAGCAGGGACTCCCCCGTCTCCGGGTCTCCACACCCACACCCACCACCCGGCAGACTGCGCCTTGTTGGGTTTGGGCACACACCAGGCGGCGATGGCAGAAGACTCTTGGGACCCACCGTTCACCGAGTCTTTGGTGAGCTGCGCGCGCGCAGCGAGGCGGGGCTCACGTACACGCGCTGTCCGCGGGCCCGCGCAGCTCGTGTGCGCGCCCGGCCGTGGACAGGACGCCCAGCTGCCCTTGCGGGGTCCACCCACGTCCGCCTGCGGGAGGAAGGCTGTG